ATACTCTTTTATATATATATATAAAAGAGTATATAAAAGAGTATCAAAGAAAATATATATATATATATATATATATAAAGAGTATATATATATCATAGTCAATATGTATGTATCATGCATCAAATGATAATAAATTACTTAAGGGTATCAGTGTATTACTTATAAATATTAGATCGTGCATTAGAGTATGTAAGCATCATGCATCAATATTAGCATATAATTATTTGTACTAGGTAGATGATATGTGAAACCTTTGTAAACCTAAATATAAGTATCAAAACATAAAATAAGTATGCTTCCCTTGAGATGGAAAAAGTAGTTAAAAATGCATAGAATGAAATACTTAAAAAAATTTAGAAACAAAAATCAATCCAAAGATTGTACTCTCCTTTTTGGCATCAACAAAAGCCAATCCAATTCAACTTGAATCCTCATCCGAGTTGGTCTCTAGATTGAGTTGGGCAAGAATCTTCTGAAACTTTTGTTCAGAGCGACATTGTCTATGAATGGTTGCAAGGAGTGTTGTAGTGAGAAGTCTGACCAGTGTTTGTAGGAGAGTAATGCGATCAAGTGCATCTATTGATGCTTCCTAGGTAGGCTTAAAGGAGACAACAAGAGTAGAAGTAGAAATAGGATGTGAATAGATAAAAATAATATCTACATGTAGACATATATAAGATTGAAAGTTAAAAGGAGTGGGATAGAAGAATGTGTGACGTGGTTGGTCGAGAGTGTTGTATGTAGTGGGAAGAGTATTAGGAGGAGGTGGAGTCTGTTGGCAATAGTGACCCATGGCATAAAGAGGGTAGTTATTGTCTATGTTAAAGGTAAGGGTGTTCAAAACCAAACCGGGTTGAAAAGAAAATCGAGAATCGATCCAAAAAATTTGAAAATAAAAAAAATCGATAAAGTTTGGATTTTTTGGATGTGTTTTTCAGAGAACCGACCGATTTGGTTCAATTTTTGGTTTAATCAGCTGGCACCGAATCGAAACTAACCAAATCATAGTGTTACCCATGACTACGTCTGCGTGTATGAGTGTAGGTTAAACTTTAGGTCTCTCACTCTCATTCTCAAATTAGAAGTCTTCTCTACTAGTGCCGCCTCTCTCCCTCTAACCTAAGTGTCCTCCTTCACCTGTCTGCCATTCTCTCCCTCTCACCTAAGTGTCCTCCTCCTTCGTTCTCTCTCTCTGGCCTTTGTACCTTCACCTGCCACTACATCTCTGTTCTCTTCTCTCTCATTTGAGTGCCCTCCTTTGTGGCTTTATTGTTCTCTACCTTTGCACCTTTGCGTGATTGTGTCGTGTGT